CCTCCTCCACCCCTGGGGCTTCCAGTGAGGGCCCAATCCTGCCCCAGGGGTGTGGGGGTGAGCTCACTGTGGGGCCGAGCTTGCTATGGGGCTGCTCTGGATCCAGGGTGTGGGACTGAACTCACTGAGGGGCCAATCCTGCCCCAGGGGTGTGGGGCTGAGCTTGCGTGGGGCTGAGTTTGCTGTGGGGCTGGATCCTGCCTCAGAGGTGTGGAGCTGAGCTCGCTGCGGGGCCGAGCTCGCTGCGGGGCCAATCCTGCCCCAGGGAGACAGGGCTGAGTTTGCTGTGTGGCTGGATCCTGCCCCAGGGATGCGGGGCTGAACTCGCTGTGGGGCCAAGCTCGCTATGGGGCTGTGCCCCCCCCCCAAACTCTACCCCTCCTGAGCGGGGGTCTCCTCGCCGCAGCGGAAGCGCAGGAAGTCCCGCACGGCCAGTGCCCCCCGTGCCGCCAGGAACTGCCCCACGGTGAGAGCGGGCTCCAGCAGGAAACTCTGCGCCAACAGCCGCGTCTCTGCCTCCCCCTGGGGTTCGTCCTGGGGGGTCCCCACGGCGGTGGGTGCCATCCCCACCACGTGCTGGGCCACTTTCCGTCCCACCTCCTCCAGGACCGTCACCGAGGGACGCGGTTCCGTCACCTGACAGGCCACCAACGCCCCGTACGTCCCCATGGCCACCGGTGCCTGCACCGGCAGCCACCCGTGGGCGTAAGCGGCGATGTAACCGTCCTCCTCCGGCACCCTCAGCCAAGCAGCGCGGCGCAGGGTCAGGTTTTCACCTAATTTCCCTAAAAAATGGGGCCAGGGTTGGCAGGATACGGCTCTTTGGCTGGGGCGGGCGCCGAGCCCGGCCCCCCCCCATCTCCCTCTTCCCAAACCCCTTCCTGAGCCACGTCCTTGTCCCCAAGGAAAGGATGTGGCTCCAGTCACCCCCCAGGGGTTTTGTCACCCCCTCAGGGGTTTCTGCCCCCCCCAGGGGGTTTTGTCCTCCCCCCCAAGGTTTTTTTTTGGGGGCCCCCCCCCCCCGCCAGCACTCACCTATAGCCAGCGCGAGGTGGTTGCTGAGCAGAGCCCCCCCAGACTCTGTCCGGAGCTGGGCTAGTTCATCCGGCTGCAGCAAGTGCTGGGAGAGAGAGAAAAGGGGGGGTTGAGGGATTATCTTTTGGGGAGGGGGGGATCGTCTGGGTTGCGCCACCCCCCCGTTATCGTGTTCCCTCTCCCCCTCACCTTGCTGCAGGAGGCGGGCAGCGTGGCGGCGGCGCGGCAGTGGGCCATGGTGCCCAGCGCCACTTGCTCCACCAACCGCTGGAATTCGGCATTTCTGGCTACAAAATCCGTCTCACAGTTCACCTGCGGGAGCCACGGGGTGTGTGGGGGGGTCCGTGTGGGTGTGTCCCCCCCTTCGCCACCACCTCAGCGTGTCACCCACCTCCACCATGACGGCTGCCGTCCCTTCCCGCAGCAACCCCACCAGCCCCTCGGGTGTCCGGCGGCCCCCCACTTCAGTGGCTTTGCTCCAGCCCTGCCGCTGCGCCTGCTCCTCCAGCCAGGCCTC